TCTTTTATTAATAAATTGTGCTCGTCGAATTTCGCTCTCATTTTCGCCGCCTCTTTTGCTCTCGTCTCCACCTCCTCCGCATGTCTTGTAGCACGCCTTGCTTTGTCGCGTCCGGACGGTCGTCGTGGAGGGGATATCATCCGGAATTTCATCGTCGTCGGCGTTAAGGTCGATGTGAATCCGTGCGTCCGATACGTCAACCGAGCTAGAATTGCGAGACCTTTTGGATTAAACCTCCAATGATATAGGCGTTTTATTCCACTTTGGATCCGCTCGTAACAACTCCCATGATTTTTCAAAGTAAAAAACGTGACCCATTTCGACCCGATATTATTCCTTAGCAGCTTTGAACAAATCAAAGTCGTTGGTTCCGCTTTGTGGTTGTGCTTCTAGCCGGTTGTAAATACCGTTAAATTTGTTGCACCACTTAGTTATTTGACCCCATTTGCTGCTTAACATGTCATTGTTGCAATACAGATTTTTTCTTTAAAATAGCGTGAAACTTGTCGAGCACCGCCCCCCAATAAGCTCCTTTTTTCATTCTTTTTCCGCGAACTTCGTCTTTTGAAGTAGCACACCATGTCGCCGTCAAAGCGTATTCCTCCTCCGGTGTCCACCATTGTGGAACATCTGTATTTTCTGTTTCTACTTCTATTGAATTCCGTTTTGATTTTCCTTTCTCTTTCCCTTTCTTGTTCCTACTACCTCCCGCTTCCGCTTCACCCGATTGTTGTGTCGTAGACGATGGTTGGTTGGTTTGTTGTTGCATCGAAGCAAAAGAAGGGAAAATATTTTGTTGTAAATTTGGGTTTTGACCAACTTGATTTTGTTAAAAGTAAGGTGAGTTGGGAAACTGTAGTGGCGGTGAAGCGGGATTGAAAGTTGCGCCTTGGTATGGAATCTGTGATGAGCCTTGATTCGATAAAAGGTTGAAATAACCTTCATAACCGGCAAACCTGACAAGCAAGGTTGTGTTTGGTTGTGTGTTTGGGTTTGATGATGGGGAGGTGTTTCAGTTTTGCTCCATTTTTTTAGAAAGAAATAAACATGTAGACAAAAAGAAATGTAAAGGTTTGAAATGAAATGAGTATATATGTGTGTGTCTATATATATATATATATATATATATATATATATATATATATATATATATATATATATATATATATATATATATATATATATATATATATATATATATATATATATATATATATATAGGTAAAAAGGTAAAAAAAAAAATTGTTGTGAATTTGACCGTTTTCAAACGGACTAAGTTTACAACGGCTCAATTTTTGGCTGTTTCATCTTGTTTTCGTGGCCACGAGAAGTGAACGACAAGAAGCAACGAGTTGAGGGGAGGGGGGCGGTGTTCCCCCCGTCACGACGCCGTCGAGTTGCGCCACATCACCGGCGTTTCATCTCGTTTGGACCCATACCGTGTGGTCTAAAAGTAGTCATTTAGGCTTTGGCGAGTGGTCACACTCATCCCACCAGAAAAGTGTTGCCACATCTGTGTCACGTCAGTTTCACATCCAACCCACCACCAACCCACTAAACATTTGAAATAGTTACCACTCCACAAATTTTATTTTTTTATTTTTTTAACATTATATTAAATAAAAAACAAAATACAAACCATAATTTAAATAAAAAACACACATTATATTAAAATTAAAAACACATTACATTAATATAAAAAACAAAAATTAAAATTCTAAAATTCTTAAAAAAAACATAAAAAAATTAAAATCCTTGATTACTTAAAACCATAAATGAAATCCTAAATTACTTAAAACCATAAATATTAGAACATGAATTCCATATTTTCCCGAACTTGGCGTTGAATTTTAAAAAATATCGCAAGATTTTCCGGGTCGAGATCCGGTTGGGGCTTTGTGTTTATGATTTGAATATCGGTAAGAGCTATTTTTTGGCGATTAGCTGCCTCCGACGATTCGTATTTTTTTCTAGAAAAACTAGAGCTTTATCTATGGATGTCGCAAGCTCGCTTTCGCTAGTTTTCGGTGCTTTTCCGTTTGAAGACGCTCCATTTCTCGCTTTGTCCCGTCCTGGTGGTCAACGAAGTTGGATGTCCGGTGGGCCCTCCCCCTCGGTGGCATCGAAGTCATCGTTGAAGTCGAGTCCAAAACCCACGCCCGACTCTGATGTTCTTGCCCTTTTGTTGGAACCGGTTGTAGATCCCGAATGCATCATTTCCGGATATGAAACCCATTTTGGACCGTTACGACAAACTTGTCATGCTTTTTGGTGGCCAAACAGTTTACCATTGGTGGTAGTTTTGTATTCGTAGGCCGCAATCGCTAAAATGTTGAAGTTGTTGCTACCACTTCTATGCATGTTTTTAAGCTTGTCAAATATGCCATTGAATTTGGTGCAAACCGCTCGTAAATCACGTCATTTTGCATTGATCGAGTCGTACGTCCGCTCCGTTTTCTTTCCTAATAACGCGTGGAAATGATCTAAAACACAACACCAAAAACTTTGACCCCTATTGCGAGTTGCTGACATCCCCGTCTTGGGATATAAAAATCCAAGTTTTTGCTAAAGCTTCATCCTTATCTTCGTTCCAGTCGGTAGTTTTTTTTTTCTTGGATCTTTGGTTTTTTTTGCCTTCGACGAGTTGGTTGTTGTGTTTCTTGGACCTGTTCGTCGTCGTCATCATTGTTGAGATTTATAAGTTGAGGTTCAGATGGTTGAAATTGTTGAGATGTAAAAGAAGTTTGTTGAAATTGTTGAGAAGGTTGTTGAAATGGTTGGAATTGGGGTTGATTGAATTGTTGTGGTTGTTGCTGGTAGAAGTTTTGAGAGTATGAAGTGGTGAATAGAGGTTTTTGTTGGATTTGGGAGGTTAACAATTACATGTAGTTAACATTCACATTTGGAGTGTTTGGGGTGTTTGGATTTCCATCTATGTAGAGGGGAAAAAAATATATGGAGAGATGAGTGTTTTTTTGTAGATGGTAATAAAATATAGAAATTGTTTTTTGAAGTGTAAATTGTAAAGAGAATAATAGGTAATCTATAGGTGAGGTTGTGATTGTTTAAATTTTAAAAATTATATTTTTTTTAATGTTAAACGGTCAAATAACCGTTCCCCACAAAAAGCAAAAAAAAAGCCGTTGAAACAAAATGTGATTAGTCATCTCGTCGCGTCTTCAGAGCCACGTCGCACGCACCCCACCGGACTCGAGGGCGGTGTTCACGTGTGGGGAGGCATGCCACCTTATCCCAAGACGCGTGAATTTCGTCCCATACCGGTTAGCCTTAAATCTATATGGTTCAAGATAAGTCATTTATCTTAAACCATATTTATCTGCAACCCCCTGTAACATTTTTCATCTTATGGTATTGAATGGATTTGTTAATTGAAATATTTTTGATACATAACTTTTATAACTTTTCAATATTTGTTAATCAATTCATTAGTTAATCAAAATATTTTACACATATATAAGGCCGAGTGGTATACATTGCACGAGGAGGTTCGTGGTATACGTGGCAACGGACCACCACCGTGCACATCATCCCGGCCGGTCATGGTTTGTCCGTTTCGTGATGGTTCATTGTCCATACCATGAGTAGCAACGCCCAATGAGGACTCTTCTTCCTTTGACTGGTTGACTAGCCGTTCCATCAGCTGAAAATTTGAAATATATATATATATATATATATATATATATATATATATATATATATATATATATATATATATATATATATATTAAATAATATTTTTTACATATCAATTTTCCCTAAAAATACATTCTTCTAACCTTTATTTCTTACATCGTTCTTTTTTTTTTCTCTAATACATAAATTACATGCAACATTTTCACAACCAAAATCCATAGATCCCAACCATGGTTTTTATTTTAATTATGTTTGGTATTTTTAGGTTTCTTATTTTTATAATGTTATTTCTATTTTCTTTATTTTAATTAATGTAATATATATTTTTTTATTCTAATTAATGTAGCTTTTATTTAATGTAATTTGGTATTTTAGTTTGATGAAAAACTAGTATTTAAAAAAAATTATACGATTTTTATGCATTTTTTTTAATTTAATTAACAAATGAGGTGAAATTGTGTGTTTAGTGGTAGGTATCTCATGGTTAGTGGTAGGAAGTTTGGTGATGATGTGTCACCCATAATTATAATGATTGGTGGTGGGTATAACGGATAGTCTAAAAACATTATTTTCATGTTAGGTTACTTATACTCGTTTATTTTTTTTAATCTATAGTCCGTGAAAATGGAAACGAAGGAAAAAATAGAGAGAATTACAAAGTAAAACATAACTACAAGTGATTAACATGTTGTATATGCAAGTATGTATATGATATTGTATTTTTTTATAATTTCCACTACTTTTTCTTGATACTTTCTTTAATTTTCAAAAAAATGTTTATGATCGTATACTTATAACCAAAAGAAATGGATGATACATTTTTAGTTAATTTGTCAAAGTTTGTTTGATGTAGAATTGTAGTATATTTTTGTTCTATATATAATTTAAGCTATTTTTCATAATTTCTAAGTATATTAATAACTTCTGTGCAGAGATAGAACTCGATTAACGTCTTGACTTTTCTTTAGATTATGATAATCACCACTAATACAAAAAAATGTTATGCTCATTTTTCTTGCATCTGACTATTATTATTATATATATATATATATATATATATATATATATATATATATATATATATATATATATATATATTACAATTATCATCCCTTAGCTACAGTGAACATCCTAAGGTTTTAGCAAATTGGGTCATATATATATATATATATATATATATATATATATATATATATATATATATATATTACAGTTATCATCTCTTAGCTAAAGTAAACATCCTAAGGTTTTAGCAAATTGGATCCTATATATATATATTAAAAAAACATCTAACTTTCTACTTTGGGTATTTTTTTTTATCATTATCTATATTTTAGTGGACACGTCTTTTATACCTTTGTTTCACCGTTTCTCTAAGCCAATGATATTCCGATTTCTGTATCTTTACCCCCACCGCCTATCTCTCCTCTATCTATCTTCGGATGGAAAAAATCCAGCATCTACCATTTCACTCCTCCCACTTCCAATTGTGACACCCCTCAGAACCATCACTATCGTCCGATCCAGCCACCACACCATTCAGTTCAGATCATTTGATTTCTTCCACGTCCTCCCCTTTTTTTATCAAACGTTTTTCTTCCATCAATCAGGTTTGATACGTTCAACTTTCGTGATTTACTTTGAGTTTATGATTCGTTAGAAGGTGGGTTTTTATGGATTTTGCACTACAGTTTGCCACATGCTACACCACCTTTCCTTTACCAATCTCTTTCTTCATAACACAGGTTGCTATTTGAATCGTGAAATTCCGTTTGCTTTCGTTTTTGCCCATCTACATTGATATTTACCTCTATCTATTGAATCAGACCATCTTCAAGTCTAATGGAGAGGACCTTTTGCTCAGGTTTATGATTTGTGAAGGAAATTAAAGCTAAGGTATGAACGGAAATCTCAGATACACCCTATAAATTTGAGCAATTGATTCAGTTTTTATTGTCTTCAACCTATAAAAGTTTCATCGTATGATTTATTATTGAGATGTGAACTAAAATTCAGCACATATGGGTTTGTTGAAGCTTTTCTTCTCGATTTCCTTTGCCTCCTCCATCTCTATCTCAATTCCTTTACTTCCCACGGGGATAGTGCTCCAAAATAGCAACAATACAGTCTCAAGCGCACGACGGAACTACACTCTCCACCATCGATCCCTTCGCTCCCTTAATTAGCGACAACTGCAACACACAGAATCAGTTATCACATCTCCATCTTTCTTATATTTAGAAATCATAAAATCGACTCATCTGTTATGCTGTTTATCCGCTTCTATACTCTCAATCAAAAGGTAAATTACCACCACTGCGGTTTGGGGATTTTTTCTGAATACTGCTTATCTGCTATATTTGCTTTTATACATAATTTATTTCTTTGTTTCAACTTTGAACAGATACTCTCCATCAAACTGTCACCGCCATCGACTTCTTCAAGAACATGGAAACCCACCGTCTCTCTCTCTAAACTCATCCAAAACCCATTTCTATGAAAGAGATGAATGTACAGTAAACTACACGAACACAGAATAGGACCCAGGATTATCGATTTCATTTTCCGACCTCGATTACCAATCAAAACAGGGAATTTGGTTACAGAGAAAAGTGAAGTCGGAGGCGTAAGGTTCCGAGTTCACCAAATACTCTAAAAACCTCTGATTTCTCTGATCATCGTTTCCATTCGTGCCCTAACTTTATTCTTGCAGCAGGTGTTTGGTGGCTGTTGTGGAGTTAGAAGGGGAAGAGAGTGGTGCAACGGGGTGGGTCTCCATCTGTGGGATCAATTAAAATGATGGAAACAGACTGCCTGTTGTCGTCATTGCAGGTAAACAGGCGAGGCTGCATCAGCAGTCCCGGGTTCGTTCGTTTCCTTTTTTTTTATTGTTTGATGAAAATCATAGGGGTGTTTGGGATTTATTCTTGATGATTTCCATGGAGTAAAAGAATACCTGAGATGTAGGCTCTTTGTTGGTTGATGATTTCCATGGAGTAAAAGTGTTGATGCAGACTTATCTTGATAATAAAGAATGGGATTTGACCAATTTTGTTGACTTAATATTAAAGCAAACTAATGTGGGAGCAGTTGTTAAAATAGAAGAAGATGAAGATGAATCAGTGTATGCCTTTGTTTCTACTTTAAATTTACAAAGATATAAGGTAAAAAAGTAAAAATTTTCATTTGCAACATTTACTCATTATTTATCATAGCTAATTGGATATATGGTTGTTGTTTAATCCAGGATTGTAAATGTATAATGGAAATGAAAGAGTTTTTACTATCAAAGTGTCAAGAAAAAGAAATAAAAGAAAATTTAAAATCATATTTTGGAGAGAAAGCAGCTGATGTTGGACTTTTGATCTGACAACGTGTTGTAAATCTCCATGCTCAGCTTCTGCCATCATTGTATGATGCTCTTTTTAATAAAATCACTCGAGCTACAGAAAATGAGGTTAGATAAAATTAGATTTTTTTCTATGTTTTTCTCTCTAGCTGGCCTTCAATGAAGCTTGAATTTATCAAAAATTGCAATTGCCACCTCATGAAGCTTCTATTATCTAGAAAGTTGTTAACGATTTCCTACAGAATCATGAAGGTGTATAACGATTATTGATGTTCGATGTGTTGTTGCTGATTTTGATGCTAGATATAAAGCTCTAGAGTGAACGTAGGTATCAATAATTATACTATCAAGATTTGATTATGTTAATATCAATAAGGTTGTAATCTTGCAATGATGATGATGTCGGGATATTTACGTCTTTTAATCATAATGTCTACATGTTGCTACAGTTACTTCTACTGGATTGTTTTAGGTCGGGAACATTTATCGACTCTTGAGAAACATCCGCAATGCAGGTTTGTTTGATATTTTGTCCGTGAAGTATGAGTTTATGTTTTACATTAGTTTTAGGGATTATTAATTCAAACTATAATTTGTTGATGAAGAAAGGTTGTACAGTTCCTGTGGGACTTCATGATTTTAGTTCTTTTCAAGCATCTGCTTGCCAACTTCTCATCTTGTGCTTAATGAAATACATCAATTTCCTTGTAGTTTCCTGTTTATGATAATTATAAGGTAGTATGTTAGGTAGTGATTATGGTAATCATATTTGGTTTTGTTGGTGCTTAGGTTGATGACTATTAAGAATTAATTTTTATGATTTATTAAAAATTTCCGAAAACATTCAGTCACTTTGTATCTGTACCATTGATGTTTACAATAATGATTCACCATTTGTGTGACTAATCTATTTTCTCTCACTCAAAAAGTGTTTGTGCGTGTTCTTTACACCAACTCCAGGTGACCTTCAAGAATAGATGACTAACAAGAAAAGATTGAAGATCTAATCCTTTATCTTCCAGATATGAATCACAGCAACCAATCCCCATTTCTCACAAATGGCCAACAAGTAAGAAAATTACTTATATACCCTTTTGTTCTAAATTCTAAACATTACTTTCTTAACTAAATTTAGAGTGAAAAACATGTATGTACCTGTGGCTTGATAAAAGAAGGCACACCATGATGTTTATACTTTTTTCTGATATGACCAAATTGATCAAATGTATTTTTTCTATTGTAAATAGCAGGTCCAACAACAGCTCAATGAAATTGTTATTAATATAGCTTCTACAACATCAAAGTTCCCAAAAAATGTGTTGTACTTTACATAATAGGTAAAAAGATCACACAAATTTTATCAAAAATGATGGTTTTATGAATTTGTTTCACGTTGGAACTTTACCTTTGGTCGGTCACAAAAAGTGCCTGATATTAAGACTCACGCTCAAGCCATGAAATGTGAAACCACTTTCTTAGTGATGGTCTATTGTGGATGGTGTCTGTAATGATAGCAGTGAATTCGTCTGATATCTTTTTGTTCTTTATTCTTTCTTGCTAAAATATTATCTCCTTACATGTTGGTTCTGATAGTGGATTGGGGTGTTTGGAAGATTAATGATACAATATGGGGAAGTACCAGTTTAGCAAGAGTGAACGTTTAAGATGTAAATGTTGGATTAGTGTCTAAGTCCATAACTATTTTGGTATCTACTTGACCCGATGGTGCATGGTCCTTTTGGGTTGCCTTTACCAAAGCAATTTGATTGGAGAAATAAATAAAGAGAGAGAGTTTATTATGATTTATTAATATGTTATAAAAATAAATATTAAAGGAGAAATCATATTTGTTTAATTAATATTGGTAAATAATTAATTAGGAATTAATTTTGTGATCAAGTGTAATTAATTAAACTAGAGGGGCTGATTTGTAATTATGTGATAGTTACAAAATAAGGTAAGGATTATCTTAAATATAGGGAGAACGAATTTAAGGAGATAATGCCTTAGAATTCGACTAGGATAAGGGTTTCTAAGACTTATCTTATGGTTACTTGGTGGGCAAGCAACTAGATAAGGATAAGGACTAAAACCCTAATCTTTTCACCTATATAAACCCCCTAAGGCTCATGAATTCGTGTATCCCTTCCCAAGAGGTCCTAAGGACGAATTCCTACCTCTCTCCTCTCTCTTTATACATTCTCTATTTGCTCTTGATGTTTGTAAGCCATTAGAGGAGTGACACTTGTGACTCTAAGCCTTCCAAAGTCAATTCAAGGAGGAATTAGGATTGTTATTGCTACATAACAATCAAGGTAATATCTTAAACCTAATTATATGTTAATATCTGTTTCCATATGCTAGAATTAGGGTTTATAGTCTTGGATTCAAAGCATGTACAATAGAGAAACCTAGATCCAAGCATTAGGGTTTGTATGAGCACATAGGATGTCTTATGACCAAAACCCATCAGTGGTATCAGAGCCTAGGATGGTTTCAATTGTATTGATGCATTGTATATCTAAAAAAAAAATCGATTTTTGGTGTTCTAGAGGCTGGACTCGCCGAGTCCATAGCTGAACTCACCGAGTCTAGGGTGACTCGACGAGTCCAGGCTTGACTCGGCGAGTCAACTTGTCAGATAGTGCTTATCTCGGGATTTCTTACTGTTTTTGCATATGGATAGTTACCTTATCATGTTAGATCAATATTAATCCAATTATATGATATATTTGACTATATTTTTGATCTAAATGAAGATATTTATCAATTAATAAGATAATTGTTTCCTTATAAGATAATTGATTAATTATTTTGAGTAAATTGATAAATTGTTTTGCAAGAAATCATTAAATAAATCAAATATGGATAATTATGTGATTAAATGTTAATTTAAAATTATTTGTTATTTGATCCTTGTTGTTATGAAAAGTTTCATATTTTCCCCTTTAGGTTTTATAGTTTAAATTTGAACCCAAAAGTTTTGTTGTTTTGAAATTTAAATAGTTGAAACCCTAATGTTTTGAAAAAGGTTTCAAAACTTGCCCTCAAGTTTTGGAATTTAAATTTTGATTAATAGTTTAATTTGATGTAATTTAAATTCTAAACCCTAATGTTTTGAAATGTTTCAAAACTTTCCCTCAAGTTTTGGAATTTAAAAGTTGATTAAAAGTTTAATTAGGAATGTTAAATTCTAAAACCTAGTAATGTTTTGAAAAGTTCAATTCACACCGTTATAGTTTTATTAATTAATTAAGGTGTATAATTAAAAGAGGTTTAATAAATCCATAAAAGTTTAGGTTTACAATTTAATTGAATTAAAAGTATAATTGTTAAATTTGATCACCTAATATTTTAAAAGTGTAAAATGCACCCTATACTACATATAACATTAAAAGTCTAACATTATATATATGTATGTATGAGTAAAAGTCAGTCTTACCGTTAGTAGGCCTCATTCACGAAGCTGGTCTATAAGGGGTGTTTAAGGAAATTGCCTATAAAATGGCGATTGAATGGGTATCCACTCTTACCCACCGCACTCTTGACTAGTGGAGGGTCGTTAGCCGAACGGGTAGGATAGGACGAAACCTTCCATTATAAGTATAATGAAATACAAAGTAACTAAATGTTTTTAAATTCCCAATCTTAGTTACTTAGGCAAAAGTGAATTGATGCAATTCCATGAAATTACACTTTGTGCCCTTGCGAAGACGTTAGTGGAGCGTGTGTGGTTTACCGGCACACTAAATGGTTCTAAGCAAAGGTAGCAAAGGGTGACTCAATGTTTTCATAGTTCGGTGGAGCGTGTGTGGTTTACCGGCACATCGAATAGGTGACTGTAACATGTGAGGGCACCATGTAAGTTTGCATGGTTATTCACACCCGCTTTGTGATCCTCGGCATCCCAGTCACAAACAAGAGGGGCATATCGAGATTTAAACATGCCATTGAAATGTTCAATGAATCTCAAAGGATCTAGGAGTTTTCATAGATTTAAAACTTAAATTTCTTTTTCGTTTTTCATGGTGGAAATTAGTGAATCGTCATTCACTTACCTTCAAATATTCTGCAACTAGATTACGCATCCCTTTTCTAGGTTGTAGCGTATTGTGTTGGGTCCTAGCCTTAGTATCTCATTTGGGTGATTTACTAAGGACTCAATCGATCAACTAACTTGAATTTGTTTTTCCCGTTTTGTAGATGTCAAAGTTCGACAACTATGGTCTTCCCAAATCCCGTGGAACAAGCATTCCACATGAAGATGATATTCCACGATTCGATCGAGGAACAAGAAATCATGCTTCACTTCCTCCTCCTCCTCCAATTATTCTCCCTAACCCACAAGATTGTAAAATTGAAAGGTTCAATATCACTCAAGCCCTTTTGGCAAGTAAACATAAAGAAGGAAAGTCGGTGTGTGCACACGTCTTAGGGATGAAGTCACACATTGATAGGTTAAGAATGATGGGATCCGTTGTCGGTGAAGAGATGGCTGTTGATTGGGTTCTTCAGTCACTTCCTAACTCGTATAGTGAGTTCGTAAGAGAGTACTATATGATGAACCACGACGTGACCCTTATTGATCTCACCTATATGCTTATTGCTGCTGAATCAGCAATGGTTTGGCGCAATAGAAAAGCAAAGTTGATTGGTGAATCTGCCTTCAAGACCTCTATGGATATAGACAATGGCAATGAAAGACATGCAATGATCGAAAAGTTTGATCATAAGAGAAAGGCGATGTCTGAAGTAGTTCCATGTGTTGTTCCAAAAGAGTCAATTTGCTTTTATTGCCAAGAGAAGGGCATTGGAGACGAAGTTGCCCTATTTACCTAAGAGATCTAAGAGATGGGAGAGTCAAAAGTATGACTACGCTTCAGGTAAAATCCACTATCTAACTCCGTTAAGTTCCTATTCATTGATTCTTAATACATGATGTGATAAGATTGCATTTGAATGTTTTGCAGGATCGGTGAAAAGAAAGGAAGCTTGATAAGAGAGCAAGATGAATCTAATCACAAGAGATGGATCTCGATCGCATGGACTTGAAGATTGGATTTTGAGCTTAGATAGTTATGATAGAGTTGTTAGAAATTTTCCTTTTACATAG